CGTTCACTGCTAGAGTTGAACCCACTGCTCCTGTGTGCAAAGGTTATGTTGCAGCCCACAGAGCTATCTCTGCATCATTTGGTATTCTTCTAATAGTATTACAGAATTAATTATGCACAACTTAAATGAGCAGGATCAAACATAAATTTGAGTAGATTGTCAAGATATTGGTCATAAGAGAAAAAGCAGCATTATATTAGTTAAATGAATATGTCTAGTTGTAATTCAGATGTCAAATGAAGTTGAGGAGTACTTAAATAAGAAAACTGAAAATAAAAGAGTGGGCCAGGCAAATGCGAATAGTACAAAAGTAGAATTATCTAATGTAACTTAAAATAGTTTTAGCTTCATTCAGTGGAAAGAATAAAATGAGTTTTATATAATGATGAAAAGTTAAAGCATAAAAAGTAGGCACTAAACATAGATCATAATATGAAACGCAAAATTTGCTCAAAACACAAGAGAAGCATTTGATGAAAATAGTTGTATTAAGTTTGATACATTTCCTTCATAATTAGATTCAAAAGACAAGGTCATTGGAAATAGAAAATCACAATCAACAGATTAAATTTACTACTTTAAAAGCCCTGGGAGGGGGGTCAGAGAGATAGTACTGTGGTTAGAGCACTTGCCTTGAATGTTGCTATCCTGGGTTCGATCCCTGGCACCTCATATAGTCCCCTGAGCCCATCAGAAATGATCCCTGAATGCAGAGCCAGGAGTAAACCCTGAGCACCGCTGGTTTTCGAGATTTGTTTCTGAGTCTCTGGGATCATGGCCGTTAAGCAGTTTGATCAGGAGCCATAGAGGCCGTTCGTGGGCAGCAACTCGGGGTCTCGTTGGGGTGGGAAGGAAAGGGCTGGCTCCACCCCCATCCCGCGAGGCCCCCTGTGTCTCATCACTGCGGGCCCAAACCTGACTGTCCAGTGTCCTCTGGAGGATGGCGGCCAACAGACCGCCAGGGGGAACAGGCCAAACTACGAAACCTATTCCCACCTGGGTTGGCCCAGCGCCGGTAACCTACTGCAGGGACCGGACGCATTTCTGCCAAAAGCCTCTGGGTTTCGAGATTTGTTTCTGAGTCTCTGGGATCATGGCCGTTAAGCAGTTCGATCAGGAACCAGAGAGGCCATGCCTCCAATGATATAGCTGAGCTGGAGGTGGTTTGTGGGTGTGTCTCCCACATACCTAACTTTTGGCTGTTTACTTTCTTGGTAACCTTTGCCCCAAGTTTTTGGGGTCTGGCCAAAGGCACAGCAGCAATTTTGGGGTATTTAGAAGTCTGAAGGTGCCATCAGGCTGCTGATGCACTGGCCTCACAGGTACAGATTGACCTGCTGGCGGCACCATATCCCCTGTTTCTATATTTTCATTGAACAAATGTCTATTCATCTCCTCTCCTCATTTTTGGATTTTGTTGTTGTTGTTGTTGTTGAGCTTTATGAGTGCCATATATATATTTTCTCTCATTGAGTTGGGTATCTGTTTTTTAGTAAATACTTTACATTCCCATTAGCAATATATAAAGTTCCAGTTCTTCCACATTTTCACTTATTTTGCCTAGTATAAAGAGGCTTTTATATTTTTCAATTTTTTTGGACTTTTTTTTTGGGGGGGGTCACTCCCAGCAATGCATAAGGATTACTCCTAGCTCTGCACTCAGGAATTACCCCTGGCGGTGCTCAGGGGACCATATGGGATGCTGGGAATCGACCCCGGGTCAACCACGTGCAAGGCAAACGCCCTACCAGCTGTGCTATCGCCCCAGCCCCTATTTTTTAATTTTAACCTGTATATACTGGTACCTTGTGATTTAATTTGCATTCTCTAAAGGTTAGTGTCTTTTAAAGTGCTTAGTTTTCATATGTGCATAGTATGTGCTAATGTATATGGATGAGTGAAGTCCAACTCTTGTTGATTTTTAAATTAGTTGTGTTCTTAATTAGCTTGAACATTCTATCTATTCTGCATATAATCTTTTGTTAAATAGTCTATGCCACGATCATTTGCAATTATTCTCATCCAGAGTTGTCACTCTTATTATTTGTTAGTATTGCATTTCTAAGAATAGTTTTTATTTTAATCAAATACCGATTTTCAATGTTTCTGCCCTTTGCTGTTGTTGCAGTGAGCGTCACATACACACTTTGATATGGTGCTCGTACCCAGTCTAGTTGTCTCACAGCAGTGATCACACCGCCCCCTCCCCGCCCCATTGCATCATGGTGGGTCCCACGTAGCTGCAGAGCTGCCTACCACGGGCTACACATGAGGGAGGCACCAACACTGGCGAGTCGTATTTGCGTAGCAGGGGCTTTTGCCACTGAGCCATCTCGCAGGCTCCTGAGCTTTCTGCTCCTTTGCTTTCCTGTACCAGGGATTCTCCCAGGGCCTCACACAGGGCAACATATGTGTGGACACTCAGCCATAGCCCAGGCTCACTTCAGGTTTTCCTTTAATGGGTGGTGATTGCAGCATTGTATCTTTTGCCAGGCAGAAAGTTGCAATGATTTTCTCTTAAGTTTTCTTCTAGAAGCCTCAATGGTTTTATGTTTCAGTTTGGTCTGTGATTTGAATTTTGGTTTGGTGTTTTGGGAGCCACAGCCGGTGGTGCTCAGGGGATACTCCTGGCGCTGCATTTAGTAATTACTCCTGGAGGACTCTGGGGACCCTGTGGGTTGTCAGGAACAAACCCAGGTCTGCCACGTACAAGGCAGAACGCCCTTTCCTGTGTCTATCACGTTGACCCCTAATTTGAATTTTCTGGATAGCATGTGAAGTATGAATGGGAGTTTTATCTTTTTCCTTCTTGTATTTGGATATCCTTTTGTTCCAAGTACCATTTGTTGAAAACACTGTCCTTTTTCATGCACGTTGGCAGTTACCATATACATGTGAGTGTACTTCTAGACTCGTTTTGTCCCATTTATTTGTCTATATCAGGATTTCATGGTTTTTAAAATTTCTGTAGCAGAAACCATGAGAATTTACCCACTATCTCTATGTAGTACCTGTAGTGGCTTTCATTGGTACTCTCACCAGATTAGAACCATTTTGTTTCCATCATGTGCATTTTCTTGGGTTTTGTTATACTTTGAATCAATATAAATAAAATGTCAGTAATTATGTTACTTTATCTGGTCCTGAAAAATGCAAAATTATTTAGCCCATAGGTTTTATGTGATGTAAAGAGACTTTGTCACTACGTTTTTCTTTGGTATATACAATCCTTTCACTAACGGTGCTGTCACTTTACAAATGGTTCTTATCAACTCTTTTGTTATTCTGACCTAAAACACCAAGCTGTTTTTATTTTTATTTCTGTTTTTGCCTCTAGCATACAGAGAGATCTGTCATAGTGCATGTTTTGAAATGCCTTTTTTAATTACATAATTTATGTGTTTAATGGGTTGCTAGAATTACTAATCTATGTCTATTTTGGTGACAGGTGTTGTTAAGCATTTAGTGTATGAGGGTGCTGTTCATCTTAGTTGGGACTGCTCTGAATTAATTATGACAAGTTAATAAGATCTTCAGAAAGTTCTTTCCAAACTTCTTGAGCTAATGTTTTCCCTCTGGTCAGGAGGGTAGACTGCATATTATTTTTGATATTCTTTAAAGACATGTGGGCAGTTATTGTTCATTTAATCCAGATGGCCCGTGTCAGCTCCTTTTCCTGGCAAGGGAACGGTTTTTTTGGGGGGGTGGTTGCTATAGTGAAACCTTATGTGACTTTGTATGAAGTTCTTCTTTTTACATAAATTAGTACTTATAGAACATGTTCACAGAACTTTGAACATCATCTTTCACTAATGAAACTTCCTAGAAAAATGTTTGGACACACAAAAACTTGTGTGTAAATTTTCTTTTTGAAATGATGCAATAGGGAATAATTGCTGGTAAGGTTATAGAGGGCTGGAGCGATAGCACAGCGGTAGGGTGTTTGTCTTGCATGCAGCTGACACGGCGGGCCCGAGTTCGATTCCTCTGCCCCTCTTGGAGAGCCTGGCAAGCTACCGAGAGTATCTCGCCCACACGGCAAAGCCTGGCAAGCTACCTGTGACATATTCAATATGCCAAACACAGTAACAAGTCTCACAATGTTACTGGGCCCGCTCGAGCAAATTGATGAACAACGGGAGGACAGTGACAGTGAAAGTTATAGAAAGCGGACAAAACCAAACAAAACAAAGACAAAAAGTGAGTGGGTCCTCCCTCCCTCCCTCCCTCCCTCCCTCCCTCCCTCCCTTCCTTCCTTCCTTCCTTCCTTCCTTCCTTCCTTCCTTCCTTCCTTCCTTCCTTCCTTCATCCCTCCCTCCCTCCCTCCTTCCCTCCCGTCTGTCCTCCCTTCCCGTTCTCCCTTCCTCCCTTCCTCCCTTCCTCTGCTTGGTGGTACTCAGGGCTTGCACCTGGCTCTGCACTCAGGGATCATTCCTGGCAGGATGTGAGGGACCAACCATATCTGGTGCTGGGGATTAAATCTGGGACAGCTGCATGCAAGGCAAGCACCCTACCCACAGTACTATTGCTCTGGCCCCAGGCCTTTGGTATCCTCTACATTCCTAGAGCCAAGGCCTCAGTAGGAGATTGGCCCCCTGTCTACGGATACTCTTAGTAGCAGACATTTGGAGAGCCTGCTGAAAGCTTCCCTCATCCACATCAGCCATTGCTCTCTTCACATTAGTACTGGGAGTGACAGACAGGTTTGGCTTTAAGTGCACATGTAATCAGTTTACACTGAATTTTTTTTAAAGTTAATTATTTTAAAGTATAGGTAGGGAAGTGATTTTTACAAGTATTTGATTTTTATTTATCCTGACTAGGTGCTGCTGAATTTTAGTGGCACTTTGTCTTTTAGTATTCATAATTTTAAGTATTTGGGGTGTGATTTGGGCATTAGAATTCATAGATAAATGGTTTTTCTATTTTTTTAATTTCATAGTAATTGGTTTCAAAGTATATTTTACTGAGGTTCTTATCAAAGTTTTGATTTCTTCCAGGTGTTGACTTTAAGGTGAAAACAATCTCAGTGGATGGAAATAAGGCAAAACTTGCAATATGGGTAAGGGTTTTATGTGTTTTTAATAAATATTAGAAGTTTTTAGAGAAGCTGTAATCAGTATATGTAGTGTTCCAGAGTTGAAATGAAAACTTATATTCAATAGCTTTTGGGAGATTTGTTATTAGTTTAAGGATAAGCAATGGATAAATCTTCTAATTGGGTAATTTAGGCAGTCTTATTTTTACTTAAATTCAAAAATCCCTTCAGAATATTAAAAAAAAAGATGAAAATATATTTAAAAAATCATCTTGCTGCTCAGAGAGATCATTATTATCACATGTGTTTCAAGTTTAAAAAAACTCAACCTGAACTAAACGAACACTAAAAAGCAGTTTTTGTGGAGAAGGCAAATCTAGTGAAAAGTTTTATGTTTATGAGTATAAATGTCTGTGTGATTTGAATTTATTTTTTAATACTAGTGTCCAGTCTTTACTTTTCATTTGTATGTAAACCCAACTTTTTAGATGCATGTTGCTATAGTTCTGAATAAGGTGATAATTAACTGTGAAAAGTATCCAAGATGCTCTGTGTCTGTCACTGGCTGCCTGTCTCTGCCTTTTGCTCCTTTCCTTTCTCCCCCTCATTCCCTCTTTCATTTCTTCTTTGCTTCCAACCTCCTTCCTTCCTTGCCAAATATATGTTATATATATCATTTAAATTGACTGCTGGAGCGATAGCACAGCGGGTAGGGCGTTTGCCTTGCACGCTGCCGACATGGCTGACCCAAGTTCGATTCCCCCGCCCCTCTCGGAGAGCCCGGCAAGCTACCGAGGGTATCTCGCCCACACAGCACAGCCTGGCAAGCTCCCCGTGACGTATTCGATATGCCAAACACAGTAACAACAAAGTCTCCAATGGAGACGTTACTGGGCCCGCTCGAGAAAATCGATGAACAACGGGAGGACAGTGACAGTGACTTTAAAGTCAATTTCCACATTACACTGTATGATAATCAAATAGATAAGTATATTTTATAACATGTAAAAGAATGTGTCAGCAATTCCATAATTCAGACACTTCAGCACGGTGAGTAAATCCTAAATGTGTGGGCAGAAGTTCCAGAGGGAAATGGCAAGTGCTCGTGCCTTGATTGACCTCACTCATCTTTCGGACTTCTCTGAATGAACTCTTAGATCATCTAAAGTACATCTTCCCACATAGAACCAGTAACTATGTAAATGTGTCTTAGTTTTTTCTCATTTTTTTCTCACATAACAGTATGCTTGTTAAGTGAGTATGTTAGGCAGGTGGAAGATGGGTTCCCACCGAAAGTAAAAAGGGTTCACCAGGCGGTTTATGTGAGGTGGGGAGCAGAGAGAGAGGGAGCCAGTGCTTCCCTCACCACTTGGGGGAGTGACATGGAGAAGTTTAGGATTGATGAAAGTCCATTGAGTGCAGGTGGGACCACCATTCACCTCACCTGCTCCATGCAGTAGTCAATCAAACCATCCCTGGGTTCCACTTATACTGCCCCATGTGGGAAGTGATCCTGCCAGTTGCTTTCTTGGGGAGCCGTGAAACTCAGGCTGGTGTGAAGAATTACTTTTGCAGGGAAGGAGAGTCCATTCTAAATCCTACCCAGGCTTTTCCATGTCTGTGGCCTTCCCTCAGAAAAGAATTTCGGGAGCTGAAGAATGAAGTAAAACAAGCTCATTTGGGAAATTAAGTGGAAAAGAAGAGTAACCTGCTCAAGAGAGAACCTGGGCTTCTTCACAGTAGAGAAAGCATGTACACAACCCAAGCAGGGATTTCTCCAGAATGGGGACAAATGGCCTAAAGTTAGGGAATATACTTCTCAGACATTGATGCAGGCAAATGCACCATAACGTGAAAGTAAGGAAATGCACATTTCAGGCATAGATGTGGGCAAATGTGCACCTTTTCCTCTGACAATTTATGTAAGTTTCCCCAAACTGTCGCTCAAAAGTTTGTTGTGGAAGTGTTTGTCAAGAAGGAGTCCTTGAAGCTATTTATAGTTTTTGGATATTCTTTTTGTTTTTTTGTTCTGTTCTGTTTTTGTTTTGTTTTTGAGTCACACCTGGCGATGCGCAGGGCTTACTCCTGGCTCTGCACTCAGAAATTACTCCCGGCGGTGCTCAGGGGACCATATGGGATGCTGGGAATCGAACCTGGGTCAGCCACGTGCAAGGCAAATGCCCTACCTGCTGTGCTATCGCTCCAGCCCTCAGTTTTGGATATTCTTAGCAGGGGGTGGGACATCTCCTCGGGTGTCCAGCTGTGCTCTAGGCTTTAAGGATAATTTAACTAGATTGCAGTTCTGATTTTTATATTACATTTTATTCATCAAGGCTATACTGAAGCTGCAGTGAATACAACCGAAGGAGTCAAACTCATATTCAAGTGTTATCTGATAGTTCTGTAATTTAATTTATTAAAATATGACATTTTCTTTATACAAATAGAATTATCTCTTTATAATAAAAACCCTGAGACTAAAGCATTTCATTCTTGGTCCGGTCCTTGCCATCATCTAAGGCATATTACCTGGTGTAGATTGTGTGTCCACCTTACACAGCTTTTAATTTACATTATTGTCTTTAAATGGTCAAATAAGCAAATTGAACAGTGTTACTTATCAAAGGCAGTTCTTGCAGAAAACTGGGAGAAAGAGAATGTTTGTCCAAAGAAGTTACTTTTGCATGGCAGGGATGGTTGTTATGGTGGTTGGAATATGAAAGTAAGAATGTTCTGTATTTGTGTAGACTTGCTTGTGGAAGAGGAGTAGATGTGCTGTGTGGCTTACTTTAATGGTTATTTTCCTCTTAAGTTTCTCTTCTGGGCTGTTACCTCAAACACTGTACCTTTGTTTATTACTTTTTTTTAATGCTGTCTCTGCTTGGGCACCAAAGAAACTAGGCGTTGCTGGAGCCTGTCAGTGCAGTTTTAAAGTTTCTTATAAAACCTTGTAGGGGTTTCACATTTTAACAGCCATGGCACTAGGAACTGAGTTGACATTTACCGAATGCTTTAGTTTTGCTGGGCTCCTTGACTGTAGCTGAATAAAATGTGGTCTTAAAGGCTGGATGGTAAATATTTAGTTCAGCTTTCAGGCAAGGCCATCTGGCAGTGTTAACTGAGTGGACCTGGCTGTGTTCCAGTAAAATTTTATTTAATACAACGTTAGATAAAACAGGTGGCAGCAGATTGCCAACTGCTACTTTGCATAATTTTAGATCCCTTGAAGCCACAGGCCAAAGATGATAAGAAAAAAAGACAAGTAGGAACCAAGCCCAGAAGTAAGCACTTGTTAGTCTATTCCTTTCTTTTTCCCCAACAGAAGTTGAGAAGCAGACCTGTGGCAAGAATCGATTCGTAGGCCTTTTGGTTAAACTGGTGATTCAGTCAGCGAGGTCCCTTCCTCATAATTCACATATTATAGTTCGTGTACATCCATTTCAGAAACATACAGTAAGGAGTAGTTGTTGTTTTTTTTTTTTTTTCTTTCTTGGGTCACACCCAGTGATGCACAGGCGTTACTCCTGGCTCTACACTCAGGAAGTACCCCTGTATGTGCTCAGGGGGCCTTCTGGGATGCTGGGAATCGAACCTGGGTCGGCCGCATGCAAAGCAAACACCCTACCTGCTGTGCTATTGCTCCAGCCCCAAAGTAGTTTGGTTTTATGCATACATAGTCTCAACAGAAATAGATAATACTTAAATGAGTTCTACCGAAAAATTACCTAAAGTAAGATATCCCTGAAATTTCTTTTTATTTTAATTTATTTAGCTTTTTGGGTCATACCCAAGTGATGCTCAGGGTTTACTCCTGGCTCTGCACTAAGGAATTACTCCTGGTGGTGCTTGGGGGACCATATGGGATAGAACTCAGGTTGGTTACATGCAAGGCAAATGCCCTACCCATACTATCGCTCTGACCCCTGTAATTTCTTTTTAAGCCCCAACCCCAGGCTAGAATTTTCTGGAAAAACTGTGGGATAGGGAATTTGGGGCCTGCCTGGTGATGCTCTGGGGCTGCCTCTTGTCATGCTTGTGGTATACGGGGGATTGAACCCAGGCCTCTTGCATACAAAGCTCGTGAAATGTCTGTCATACCCTGGACTAGTTAAGTCAGAATCTCTTGGGGTTTGGACCCAAATAGCAATATATTTTGTATCACAGAAATTTGTTAGGTTGTTAGAATTGAGAACCATGACTTTCAATGAAATGGGCCTCATGTGTGATGAAAAATCCTAAATTCAAAATAGTACACAAACTTTATGAAGTTACTTTTTTAAAGAGATAACTCAGTATCTGTTATTTGTATTATATGCATCAAGTGTAAGGTGAATCTTGCATTAATATTATTTTTATAATGCTGCTAACTTTTTTCTTGTAGTCTATTGAAGGTCTATTTCTTTTATCTTCTGTTTTATGTGATAATTGATTACTACATTTAGGACACTGCTGGTCAAGAGAGGTTCAGAACATTGACTCCCAGCTATTACAGAGGTGCACAGGGCGTAATATTAGGTAAGTTTTTACTTTGACATATTGTTTAAAAATACTTTTTCTAAAATTTCTGATGTTCTTATTTGATGGTCAATATGTTCATTTTATTTTCATTTAGGGTTGTTTTCATGTAACTAAAATCATAATTACTTTAATACTAATAAACACTTAGAATGTTTTGTCAGAATAGTCTGGCAGTTAACGAAAATGTAACTTATTTGGCTTTAGAACCTGTTTTGAAGAGGACATAATTGAGAGTAAATCCACATGCACTTGGTCTCTCTTATAGTAGTACCAGCGACTGATGTAATATTGTTGCATTTTATAAAGGAAGGAAATATTGCTTAGCAGACTGTTCTGCCAATCCTAAAATACAACACTTGATACAGTTTTATAACCACACTCAATTTCAGAATTAAATGTGCATTCTTAGTGTATTTTGTTGAAAAATGTTTTTCTTACTATTTTTGGAAAGCAGTTTAGAAATGAATGGGGATTAATTATAGGGAGTTTTAGCGGGGATGTACTGTGACTGGGTGGCAGAATGCCCATCCAAAGTTGGGTGAGGCCCTAGATTCAATCCCTGGCACCCAGGGTGGGGAGCGGGGGTTGTGGGAGAGAAGAAACAGTGTTCCTGTAGTGACATTTGCTCAGAGTGACACTCAGGTAGCCAGCATTACTGTTTCTTTTTAATGCTTACTTAATTCATGACTGTTTCAGTGTATGATGTCACAAGGAGAGACACCTTTGTTAAACTGGATAATTGGTTAAATGAATTGGAAACCTACTGTACGAGAAATGACATAGTAAACATGCTAGTTGGAAATAAAATTGATAAGGTAAGCAGTCATACCCTTGGCTTTTGACTCTTTGGCATGGGGAAATGCTAAATGTACACATGCTAGAAAATTCCATCCTGTGGTAGCTTTCCCTGAGCTTTGCATTTATCTTTTAGGAAAATCGTGAAGTTGATAGAAACGAAGGCCTGAAATTTGCACGGAAACATTCTATGTTATTTATAGGTAGGTGTGTAAATATCTGTACTGGGATTTTTTTTTTTTGCTTTTTGGGTCACACCCGGCAATGCACAGGGTTTATTCCTGGTTCTGCGCTCAGGAATTACCCCTGGCGGTGCTCAGGGGACCATATGGGATGCTGGGAATTAAACCCGGGTCGGCCGCATGCAAGGCAAAAGCCCTACCCGCTGTGCTATTGCTCCAGCCCCTGTACTTGGATTTTTTTAATGCAGAATTTAGTGTGGTTTTTTGTTTTGTTTTGTTTTCATTTTATTGCTGGAGAGAGGGGTGGGAGTGGTTCCTGGAAGCCCCCAGGTTCTTTCCAGGGATTCTGACCATTTGGACCAGTGGCTCAGTGCCAGGCAAGAGGATTTGGTATGCTTGTTCCTGCAGTGTCAGGGGTTGCTGAGCCTTTCCTGACTGAGGCCAGGAGCTGCCAGAGCTGTGCCCAGCAGTGCTGGAAGACAGAGATAAGAGCAGGTTCGGGTAGGCTACCGGGGAGCCAAGAATTCTGCTTAGACCAACTTAGACCAACCCATTAGTGGACATGTTAGCAATTGGCTTATTAAGCAGCATTTTAGATCTTAGGAATGGGTGTGGCATTATGGGTATGAAATGGATAGTGCAGCATTTAGATCAGTAAACAGCACCAACAAATAAAAATAGGGCAAACCAGTGAGGGAGAATATCGGTGTGTTTAGGAAGTCAAGGGAATAGTGTGTCTCTCTTTTGTTTTGTTTATTTGGGTCCACAGCTGGCGATAGTCAGGGTTTACTCCTGGTGGTGCCCAGTGGGGACTATATGTGATCCTGGGAATCGAGCCTGGGCTGGTCATTTGCAAGGCAAGTGCCCCACCAACTTTTTCTTTGGCCCTGTGAGCAGTGTCTCTATTTTAATTTTTTAATTTTTTTTTTGGCTTTTTGGGATACACCCAATGATGTTCAGGGATTCCTCTTGACTCTGCACTCAGGAATTATTCCTGGCGGTGCTCAGGAGACCATAGGGGATGCAGGAGATTGAACCCTGGTCAGCTGCATGCAAGGTAAACACCCTCCTCACTGTACTATAACTCTGGCCCCCTGGGAACAGTGTATTTAAAGAAGAAAACTGACTAAATTTATCTTATAAGATGAGAACATTAGATTTGGTAACATAGAGTTTTGGCATTCTTTAAAAAGACTAGTTTTAATGGAATGATGGGAATAGAAACCTGATTAGAATTATTTAACGAGGAAAGAATATGAGATATGAAAGAGGAAAAATCTAACATAAATCTCTAAAAGTTTTGCTCTGAAAGATAGTAGGAAAATGGAATGACTGCTGGAGGGTTCTAAGGGCTGTGTTGTAGGTGGGCAAAACATAGAATAATTATAGTGGACTCGGACTGGTTGGTGTGATCCAGTAGAGAAGATACATGATCCTTCAGTGAGTGAGAAGAAAGGGTGTTATCCCAGCAAGTAAGGAAAGGGTTAGTTCATTGCAACAAGAGTACAGATAGAACATAGAGACGCCTATGCAGGTAGGTTGGGATAGCTGTAGGTAGATAATCAGTAATTCTATCAGATTGCTTCTCAACCGGGCCGGAGCGATAGCACAGCGGGTAGGGCGTTTGCCTTGCATGCAGCCGACCCAAGTTTGATTCCTCCACCCCTCTCAGAGAGCCCGGCAAGCTACCGAAAATATCTTGCCTGCACTGCAAAGCCTGGCAAGCTACCCCTGACGTATTCTATATGTCAAACACAGTAACAACAAGTCTCACGATGGAGACGTTACTGGGCCTCCTCGAGAAAAATAGATGAACAACAGGAGGACAGTGCTATAGTGCTTCTCAACCAAAAAAAAAAAAAAAACAAAACAAAAACTAGATCACCAGTTCAGACAAAGGAGTTTTAAGGTAACAAAGTAATCACCTCAATCAGTGAAAAAGATGTCACTAGGGAAAAGTAGGATTGGGGAAATGCTTAATATTCATGTGCATATCGTAAACATAAATTTAAGATGGGACTCGTGTCCACAACTACATGTAATTTGTTCAGCTATTGGTAGGTACTTGAATGCAGACACAAAGCAACCAGATTGTTTACCTTGTGGCCTAAATTTCCTCATTCTAAAAAAAAAATAAGAATGTCTGCACCAGGGACTAGTTTAATTAATTGAAACATTATGTAGATAGAAAATTGTCTTTTAGGAAAGATGTTTTGCAAAATATTTGAGTAAAAATTTGGGTGTTGCAAAGAAATGTTTTTAAATGAATTTATGATTATCCGCCCAAAATCCTTTACAGTTTACTATCACAAAATCTTGGACATATAGGCTAGTATTCCTGTGGACAGAATTTAAATAGCTCAACTTTTAAGAGTTAGGAGAAATTTTCTAGTAATAAACCTGCGGGCAGAAATTGCTGATTTGGTTCTTTATATCTTGCCAACTGATATTTATTCTGTAATAGTTTCCCAGAAAAGTGAGGAATGTGGTCAGAAAGGAAAATACTATGTGACTTTGTTTCCTTTGACTTTCAGAGGCAAGTGCAAAAACCTGTGATGGTGTACAGTGTGCCTTTGAGGAACTTGTTGAAAAGATTATTCAGACGCCGGGACTGTGGGAAAGTGAGAACCAGAATAAAGGAGTGAAATTGTCACACAGGGAAGAAGTCCACGGAGGAGGAGCGTGTGGGGGTTATTGTTCTGTCTTATAAACTCTGGGAAAGTCCATCTCTTGCATATTTGATCAGATAGTGACATCTTTCTGTACATAAACTCTTTAACTGCTATTTTAGGGACCTTGCAGTTTGCACATATTTGTTATGTATCATGGCAGTAAATATTTGCAAGAAATCCCACTCATCTGCTTTCCCAGCTAAATTGTTATGGTAAGCATGCACAGTTTGCAGTCTGCCGTTTTTTATGTAACATAAAATAAGTGTACCTTTATCAGTACATTGGATTTTATGATTTACATTTATCATGTGATTAAAAAAAAGCCACCCACCTAGTATATGTTGATACAAAGCCTACTTTTGGTCTCCTTTTTGCTTCAATATGCCTATCAATTACTGAATTAATTGGTATGTAGAGTTCCTAGAACCACTGGGAGATACACAGGTATCATCAGACCTGGCAGGGGGTAACAACAAGCATGATTCCCCAACTCTGCTAGGATGTCTGCTGAGAGAGTCTCTTTTAGTACCTCCGCAAAAATCTCTTTACTGAATGTAGTCCAGGTCAATTTATAATTAAATCTCTATTTGTTCTGATGATGCTTTTAAAATAGCATTGATATGTTAAAGAAGTTTGATCTTTTTTCACTTCAATGAGTAGCTCAGTTGCTTTAATTGGAGTTTTATTTCTGTGATGTACATTGGATTCATGAGCCTATGTGCAGCATTTTTAGTTCTGTGGTGTTAGAGTAGCAATAAGGGTTTCCCCCATTTTGGTTTCATAGGGACACAAATAGTCTCATGTAGTACTTACACTTATCAAACATCTTTCCCCCTAAATGGTGGTGTTTGTCCACATACCTCAATTGTAGCTTGTGTAATGTATATGAATATCTGTATCGTACGACTTCCATAAATGACAAGTTGATACTGAAAAACCTATTTCTGTGTCTTGATGGTTGGGGGAAAAAAAAACACTAAATGACAATTTGAGAAAGGCATATTGCTTCCTGATTTTGATGTGGGTGGGAAAATATTATTGCAATGAAATTCTTGGTAATTTACTGTAACAAGTAGCCAGTAGTTTATCAAAACCAAATTGTACAGACTAATAAATCTTTTCCACAATATTCAATTTTCTAACCTCTTGAAATTGTACATTGTATATCTTTTTAACTCATGTTATATAATTTACTTCAATCTTTACTTTTTTAAGCTCTCAACTAAGTAATTTATCCTTTTAAGCTGGTAACTATAATACCCCTCAGTAAGATTTTGATAATTTCTGGGCAGTGAATTCTTTGTATACAATAGCAAATGTTGAACATTTTGTGGCCACCTTCAAAATACACATGGTAATGGATTTATTTCAACTTTTCTTTCAAAATTTGTACATCTTCACATAAAAAGAAGACTTCCATTCTAACTTGGTTTATGCTTGTTAGACCACTTCACATATGATTGAAGGTTTTTTACACTCTGTATGTTTTTACTAAATATGAAAACATTTACTACATTAATGTTGAAGAAAAGTAGCAAACACATGTACTTAGAGTTTGTTTGTCTTACATTAAAACTTTAGATTTGTATATCTATGTAGTGTGTATTGATGACATTTCTCTTGCTTTTTTTTTTTTTTTTTTTTGCTCCTTGGCTAGGTTTATTTTCTTTTTCATCTTTCGTTTGTTTTTATTGTCTTGATTTGGTCCAAGTTTGAATAAACACTGAACTTTTGAAAACTTATTTTGATAGATTTATATTGTAACCTTTTATAGTTTTTGAATAAATATATCCTGGTTTCCCTAGATGCATTTGTGCAGGAAGTGTTATGCATTTTCCTATTCTAACCAGCTAAGGAACATGTGAATATAATCATATTCAAATTCTATGATATGGCTTTCATTTTATAATATTGCAGAAACCTTATGTCAAAATGGAGATTTGGTAATATAAGTGAAGTAGTTGTAATCACTGAAATCAGTCACTCATTTGTTAGGATCTTGTCAAATCTTTTTTTTTCCCTCCCAGTCAGTGTTCAGGGAGTCAGAGGACCCCCACTGGTGAGTGTAGCCAGCCAGGCTGTTGGTTTTGTGCAAGTGTTGGGGATATGTGAGCCACCATGGTGGTTCTAGGGGGTCTCCAGGGGGCTGGCTACAGGGCTGCACCTGGTGATGCTCAGCAAGCCCTCCAAGAATCCAGCTCGGGTTGGGCACTAAGCCCTATACTAACTCCTGGCTCTGGATTTTACTTATTTTGGAGTCATTTGAAGTAGCTAAAAAGTGGGTTTGCAAATTAGAACAATTAGTATTTATGTTAGGGGAGTACTGACATAAACTAGAACATCTATATTAAAAGCAATAGTTAGTATTTATTGAGAGTTTGCTTGGTGTTAGTTGCTGATCTAAGGATATTTCCTTAAACTTCACAGCAATCATGAAAGATTATGTAGACTCCTGCCCTCATTTTAAAGATGAAGATTTAGAAGCCCAGGTATGTTGGAGCTCACAGCTAAACGGGAGTTAAATTCCAATCAAGGGATTTTCACGCTGACTCCATGTTCTTAACCATTGTACATTTCCTATGGCAAGTTACTATCTTTTTGTTTGAAAACAACAAAGTGAAGATACTCTCCTTACCAGTCTTCAGGTAGATGTAATGGAAATACTATAGGTTTTTGGTTGTGAGTAAATCCCACTGAGACAAACCAACCCTGAATGGACATCTTTTTTTTTTTAATTTTATTGAATCACCGTGAGATAGTTACAAGCTTTCATATTTGGGTTTCAATCACAGAATAATCAAACACCCATCCCTCCACCAGTGCACAATCCCCACCACCAATATCCCCAGTATATCCTCCCCTTTCCCACCCTCCTCCTACCTCCATGGTAGACAATATTCTCCATACTCTCTCTGTACTTTTGGGCATTATGGCTTGCAATACAGACACTGAGAGTTTATCACGTTTGGTCCTTTACTTTCTGCACACATCTCCCATCCCGACTGGTTCCTCAGGCTATCATTTTCTTAGTGATCCCTTCTCTATTCCAGCTGCCTTCTCCCCTTTGCTCATGAGGGAGGCTTCCAGCTATGGAGCAATCTGCCTGTCCCATTTATCTACTATCCTTAGGTGTCAGCCTCATGTTATGTTGTTTTATACTCCACAAATGAGTGCAGTCCTTCTGTGTCTGTCCGTCTCTTTCTGACTCATTTCACTTAGCATGATACTCTCCATATCTATCCATTTCTAAGCAAAGTTCATGACTTCATCTCTCCTGACAGCTGCAGCTGCATAGTATTCCATTGTATAGATTTACCAAAATTTCTTTAACCAGTCCTAGTTCTAGGGCACTTGGATTGTTTCCAGATTTTGGCTATTGTGAACAGTGCTGCAATGATGCAATGAACATATAGGTACAGATGTCTTTTTTTTTTTTTTTTTTTTTTTTTTTTTGCGTTTTGGGTCACACCTGATGATACAAAGGAGTTACTCCTGGTTCATGCACTCAGGAATTACTCCTGGCAGTGCTCGGGGGACCATATGGGATGCTGGGAATCAAACCTAGGTCGGCTACGTGCAAGGCAAACGCCCCACCCACTGTGCTATTGCTCCAGCCCCCAGATGTCATTTCTGATGTGCTTTTTTGCCATCCTCGGGATATATTTCCAGAAGTGGTATGGACACCATTTGATCTAAAAGCTAGACTTTGTTTCTCAAAGTAGGTGATACCACTTATCAGGGAACATTGAAACATTGGGGGGGTAGCGGATGCAATTGTGGGGTGCTTTCAACTTAAAGTAGATTTTCAGGGATTGCTGATTTTCCCCCCTCTCCTGAAAAGGGGCAGCAGGCCAAAGAAATTTTAGAAACTCTTGAGTTAAAAAGTAACTCTCAATCTCTCAGTTCTGTTCCCTTATTATGGAATGAAAATTCTTGACTTAGGAAAGAACAAAATCAGGAGACTTTACAGAACACTAGCTTCCTGTTTGTAATTAAACATACACAAGGAAATTAAATCTGGGAACAGTCTTTCACAGAGATGACACATTGGTCAGAACCACTGAGGCCTGGGGTCCATCCCCAGCACCTCTGTATGTGACCCTGACTGCCCCTGAGAACTGCCAGTGACTAGGACTTAGCACCATGGACTGGATCCAGGCTTTGAAATGTCTGATCTTGTTGACCATGCATTGCTGAGAGTGACCCTCAGACTCCCTGAGCACTGCTCAGGATGCCCTGCACAAAGATTGAAATCTTGCTATAGTTTCTACTTTTTTTTTAATGGTAGTTAGGTGTTATGGTTACAATAATGTTAACAATAATTCCATGACTTTGAAATACAAAGTTCATGTACCTTCTCTACCTGTGAAATGCCCAGGATTCTCCACCACTGTCCTTCTTCCCTTCCAGTTAGCTGCTTCCCTGCTTTTTGGTCACCTCAGTTCTGCAAAGACCAAGGATTTGTCCTCATTCTGTCTTATCTGTTCTCCTGGTTTCTTTGCTGTACCACAGATGAGTTACATTCTCTGGCATTTTCCCTGGAAGTTTAATTTGTAAGAACTTAATGGTTACCTGCAAAGTTACACTTGTTGGCTTTCTAATTTGAGTTCAGAGGCTTGATTTTGATTCACAGTAGTAGGTGTGGGACTCTAAGACAAAATCATGAGTCTGAACTAAGTTTAGGATGACCCTTTTAGAAAAGGAGTCCAGTGAGTCCATATTCATACTTGCTGTTAGGTGGCACAGACTTACCTTCCACCCATAAAATCTTGATTGCGTATATTTTTTTCTATCTGATTTTTAAGTGAAATGGGATCATCCAGAAGGTATTAAAAATAGTAGTTGTTGTAGTTTTCAAACATTCTTCTTCTATATCCAAATTTTTACCTTATTTCAGAAAACAAATTATTCAACATCCCCTGAAAATCTACCTTCCTCAAATGAATGAGCAACACCCTTGACCTATTACAACCAAAGCCACCATTTACACCCTGAATCATTCTAGTACTCCCTGGTGGTGGAGGAGGGAGACTATGTAACCCACTTTGGTAAACACTTACATACCTTTTTTTCCAGTCATAGAAAGTTGTTTTGTTCAAGCTTTTTGCTGCAGTATTTCCCTTGATTGGTAAAGGAGTAAAAAGTATTTAATCAGATTTCAGAAGTCACAAGTTCTGATTCCAACAAGGAAATACACACACGTACACACACACACACACACACACACACACACACACACACACACACTAGTATAAACTCACCATCTCTTACACATGAAATTCTTTTTTATAAAGATCAGAAACAAAATACATAATTGTATTTTATTACTAAGATTGAGTGCTTCTAACATTTTATTGGGTGTTTGAATTTTCTTTGACACCTTATTTGTGTTTAGGCTGGGGTTGCCCATTCAGCACCTACTTTCATTTCTCACAGTACCACTGCTTTCTCTTTGGGCAGCTACCTGCCCTTGTTCTTCTGGTTTGGATAATGTCATACCCTTAGCTCTAAAGATAGCCCAGTTTCCTTTAGCCAGTGCAATGCCTGCCTTTCTCCACTCCCCCACCACTCCACCCCCAGATAACAACAATAAGTTGAATGGTTCAGGGGTGAGTACCCGATACCCGACCCAGATCCAGGCTATGTCTGGTATATGATGCTTAGGCTTTCTCAGGAACCACGCAAGAAGACATCTTGGAGACCTTGTGGCAGTATTTGTGTTCTTGGAGACCTGGTGATGAGATTCGTGTACTGATGCTGTTGCTGCTGCTACTGAGTTTTGGGAGTAAAGGAGTTGGAGGCGCTGCCCTCTGAGGAGTGGACACTCTGGTACTCTGGAACCTCTGAATCAAATTGGGTCGGAAGTGAGATCTGCTTCTGAACAATTCACTTATGTGAGCCAATAAATTGCTTTTTTTTTGTCTAAGTCACTTGGTGTTGGATTTACCTCTTTTGTCGTAACCAAGTAAATGCTATATGAGTGTCGCATGTTCTTGTAGGGCAGTATACCAAATTCAGTAGGCTGAGAGTTTGCATAAGGAAGAAAGCATAAACTCATTGGAAATACCACCGCTCGTTTAAAATATTAAAACACTATTGTTCATTATTATTTTAGTGAGCTTAACTATGGGTATATACATACATGAAGTTAAATATTTATGAGTTTATTTCATACAGTGATTTTAAGAACCTGTTATAAGTCTTTTATTGGCTTCATTTTTTTTTCTTTCCTTCCATTTTTCTGATCCACCCTGATGGTGCTCAGGGGTTACTCCTGGCTTTGTGTTCAGGGTTCACTTCTGGTGGGTCTCTGGGTGGTGTGAGGATTGGATATGTGGTGAGGTGATTGACCCTCTGTCAGCTGGGTCATCTTACTTGATGCACTCTCTCCAGTCCTGGCTTAATTTCTATTGTCACTCACTTGCCCTTGGTAATCTTCACAACCTGGCATGTATACCACACTTGTATTTCTCCATGCTTCTGTAATCATAGGACAACACATGTGTATATATTATTGTTCTCTTGTTTATTTTACAAAAATTGAATCATCTGTGTATTCCATCTCTGCATGGTGCTTTTCTTATCCAATAACAGATTGTGTAAATCTCTCTAAGCCTGTTGTAGATAAATCTAGCATCTAATTCAGTGGTCTGATATGCCAAGGTTTATTTGACCATCCCTTTAGTCTTGGGTGTTTATATTGTTTCCATGTCTTGTCACTGAGCACGATGCTACAATAAATATCCTCGATACACACACACACACACACACACACACACACACACACACACACACACACATATATA